TTTACTTAGTAGTGTTAAACCAAAATATAAGGCTTTTTCGTATAGTTTATCTCCTAAAGCACGAGTGAAGTTGAGTCGATTCTTCATCGGTTTGTCCGAAAACATGGTTAGTCTCATCGGATTTGAAGGTTTTCTCCATAGCTTCTTTCATTTTTTTCCTTTTAAATGCTATGCATTGTGGACTGAAAAATATATCGAATAGCAAATAAATTGATGTGGTCGTGTGTAGTATATAATATGAAGACGATAATTATCTCTATTTCTATTAAAGAGAAAAAGTTTGTAAGACATATAATAACTACAAAACATTAGTCCGAATCCGAAATTATGCATTAAAAATGATAATTTTAATGCGTAAATTCAGAATGAAAAAAATTCTAATAGATCTTTGGTGATGGAGAAAGCTGATAAATTAGGTTTTATTACGTCAAAATGCAATTTTAAAATGATATAAATCTGTTGACAAAGAAAAGGTTATAGTTTTGGTTTCTTTTCTCTTTAAAACTAAATAAAATATTTTAATACTTTGTCTATCGTCACACACAATGTTTTATTATTTCCAACTCGAGGGCTTTGATTGATCGAGTCTCTTACCACTATGATACGAAAAAAACCATAAACTATGAAAAGTCTAACATCTTCCAATTCTTTTCCATTTTTCTAAAGAAAAAATTTACGTCTTCAGTTTAATTTATATAAACCAGTATGCTATCATCTTCAATCAGAAACAGTTAACACAAAAACAAAAGCTTCAATTTTTCTCTTTTCCTCTGTTTTTTTTTCTCCTTCATTTTCTCGGGAAAACACCAGCAACGTTGATCATCGACAAAACCCATCGTTTAATCCAATCTTGGTCGTGTTTTCAGAGATGGGTTTAGTCAACGGGATAGCGTTGACATCTCTCCTCGCTGCGTTGACCATCATCATCGCCATGGTCGCCATGGTCGTGGAAGGGAGGTTCGTGGTGGAGAAAGAAAGCATAAGCGTGCTTAACCCGGAGGAGATGAGGTCAAAACAAGACGGTTCGATCGCGAATTTCGGTTTACCCGATTACGGTGGGTTTCTAATCGGGTCAGTGGTTTACCCGGATAGTAAAACCGATGGTTGCTCTGCTTTTGGTAAAACCTTCAAGCCCAAGTTTCCTCGTCCCACTATTCTCCTTCTCGATCGTGGAGGTAACTACAAAAACATTTTCAAAATGTTAAGAACTTGAAAGAAAAAAAAACATATCTTTGTTCTAAACTTTGATTGATAAAAATTTCGAAAAATGGTTTGTTCTGACTTCTTGGATCGTCTTGCAAACTTAAATTTTTAGTTCAAAGATTCAAACTTTAAATTGGTAGAAGCCAACAGGATTCATGGGTTGTGATACAAATTTGGATTTTAGTTCAAAGATTCAAACTTTAAATTATAGAAGCCAATTAGAATTTATGGGTTATGCTGCAAATTTGGATTTGAGTTGTAATATATATAGGACTTGAATTCATGTATGTGTTGATGTTTTTGTCTGATTAATTTGAAAATGTTTCCTTTGATCCATTAATGGATGGTTTCAGGCTGCTACTTTGCTTTAAAAGCGTGGAACGCGCAACAAGCAGGAGCCGCGGCAGTTCTTGTAGCGGATAATGTAGACGAGCCATTGTTGACAATGGATTCACCTGAAGAGAGCAAAGACGCGGATGGGTTTATAGAGAAGCTAACAATCCCATCGGTACTAATCGAGAAATCATTCGGAGATAGTTTAAGACAAGGTATTAAGAAAGGTAAAGACATAGTCTTGAAGCTAGATTGGAGCGAATCTGTGCCTCATCCTGATCAGAGAGTTGAATACGAGCTATGGACTAATAGCAACGATGAATGTGGCGCACGGTGCGATGAACAAATGGATTTTGTTAAGAACTTCAAGGGACATGCTCAGATACTCGAGAAAGGGGGTTTTACCGCATTTACGCCTCATTATATCACTTGGTTTTGTCCATTTCAGTTTATAAACAGTCCACAGTGTAAGTCTCAGTGTATAAACCATGGGAGGTATTGTGCTCCTGACCCTGAGCATAACTTCAGAGAAGGTTATGAAGGGAAAGATGTTGTGTTTGAGAATTTGAGACAGCTTTGTGTTCATAGAGTTGCGAATGAGAGTAACCGAGCTTGGGTTTGGTGGGATTATGTTACTGATTTTCATTCTCGATGTTCGATGAAGGAGAAGAAATATAGCTTAGATTGTGCTGAGAATGTCATCAAATCACTGAGTAAGATAGTAATTTAAAGAGAAAGCATTTTAA